ACTCTCCTACCGACAAAGCTAACGCCGCTCACAGGGCTGGAAGTGCCAACAAAATACCGAAAAAGAGCGTTTACACATGCTGTGTAGACAAGCCCTAAGATGGGTTTTAGTTTCTCTCGGTGCAGTTCCTAGCCAGCAGTTGTTCACTTTACAGGTGCTGAAATCTTTTCTCAAATTGGGAACTGAACATCAGATGCATATTCACACACAAGAAAATTGCAGTGGTTTTAAGTGTGGAAATTTTGTGTATCAGTGCACTTTTGTGTGCCTAAAAACAAGGTTTTTGTGACTGTTTGTGTTCCACAGGCCAGTTGCCATTACATACTGTACTCGCATGGCTTCTGCTATGTACCTCCTTAAAAAAAAAAGAACACTATATCATGTCTATCTCCTGGACTTCATAATGTCTTTTGTGAAATGTACATTTTTTATAGGAGGGTTCTGTGTCTGTCTCTGTTTAAAATGTTGACTTTGAACAGATCTGGACTTCAAAGAAAACTGATCTGTTAATTTCCATTAATCCACTATTTTTAACACCCAAACATTGCATAATTAAAGGATTACATTTGGGAAGCAAGAGGAATGCATCAGTTGAGAACAACTGGTGTCTGTCGTCCTACTTGATTTCTATTTCACTCTCTTGCCGCTGCTTTGTGTGAAGTGTTATAGTTGCAGGAAGTATTGAAGTAAATGCCAGCTGTTGATCACATGACGGCTTGTTCCATAGACACATGTTTCTCTTGCACATGTGATTTCTGTACTATTTGGTCTTTGCCTAAATCTTCCATCACTTTCATGTCGGTATGTGACCATTTAATTCAATAATATTCTTTATGAATTGAGAGTACAATCAGTTTTTCCTAGATGCAGTTTTTGCCTTGTGTCCTGTATTTTAGATGTACATTACCATTTTTGTCCACCTGTCGATGTGTTCTCAAGACGAACTACAATAACATGCACTCCATATTATATTGTACCTGATGTGACAATCCAAGCTGTAGTCCATGTAGACTGGCTAAATATGACCATGCTGTGTTGCTCTGACAACAAAGTCTATAATGTTCTGTAAAGATGGCAAAGCAGAATGTGTGGTTTGGGTTTTTTTGAAGCTTTTGTGATTCCTGGTAAGTTTTGTTTTTCAAAACTAAGAAATAAAATTAGTTTATTTTTGTTTCTTAAACTCATTGAAGGAGACTTCTTTCTACTTCGTGTATGTATGATAATGTCAACGTATCCCCCACATCAGACTACCCTGGGGTTAATATTACAGTTTCAATATTGTGGTGCCAAATAAGCACCTCTCCTGGACTGTACAAGTGGGAATGGCTAGCCTTTGTTTTAGCTGTTGAGAGGGGAAGGATGGTCCAGTAGTTAGTGCACTAACCTATGACTTGGAAGACATGGGTTGATGTGCTTGTGCTGTCATGTATGACCTTAGGTACTTAGCCTCCCATAGCCTGGTCTGTAAAATGGGGATCAGAGCACCTCACAGGGTGTTGAGGATAAATACATTCAAACTCGTGTGGGGCTCAGATACTTGTAATGGGGGCCACCTAAATATGATACAATACAGCCCTTTGGATTTTGGAATGGTGTGTGGAGACTGTCAATCTTTTAATATATGGGAAAGGCACCTAAAGGTTTGGATAGATGCCCTTTAATGTCTACATAAATCTAAATCAAACAAACATACACAGGCATAGATATTAAAGGGAACAGCTCTCAGCCTGTAGGTGGGGCAGAGGGGTGGAGTTAAAGTTGAAGGGGAGGTTGGGGAATGATGATCTCTGGGTGAGGTGTGTGCTGATGGAGTGGGGTGGTTTTCTCATGTGGGATTGAAGGGGTGTGTCAATAGGTTTTGCTGGGGGGATTTTGTGATCTGTTCATGTTTCTGTGTTCCTAGGGGATAGGAGAGACTACAGTGGACTTTCCCCTGCCCTTTACACTAGCCCATGTCCTTTAGCCAAACTGTGGCATTGGAACTGGGATGGGTTGGGTGCCATCTCTTGTTTGGTGCATGTGAGATGCTCCAGGGAGAGTTGGGGGGTCATTGTCTTGTTTTGTTTTGTTAAATGGGGATGGAAATTATTGTCCTGTGGGGGTGGGATGCTCTGTGAGGAGGGAGAGATTGGGATGTATTGGGTAGGAAACACCCTACTTTTAACCTCAGGAGGAAAGGATTGGGATGGGATGGTGACAACTCGAGGCAGCTTGAGTGAAGTAACCCACCATGGGCACAAAGCCAGTGCGCCAGGATCTACATTGTCGGCCCATTGGCTACTGGGTTAGAGTTTAAAATGTTGGTTTTGATCTATAAATCCCTAAATGCCCTGCAAGCTGCCTGCTTGAGAAATTGCCCCTCTCCCAGTGCCATGCTGTCTCCTCCCACCCCCAGACTCGAGAGCCCAAGCCATGACATCTTGCAGCTTGAGCCATTCTTTTTAGGTGACAAATCTGAAAAACTATTCCAGATGGAGGTGCTAATGAAGGAGGTTTTAGAACAAGTTGATAAATTAAACAGTAATAAGTCACCAGGACCAAATGGTACTCACCCAAGAGTTCTGAAGGAACTCCGACATGAAATTGCAGAATTACTAACTGTGGTATGTAACCTATCGCTTAAATCAGCCTCTGTACCAGATGACTGGAGGGTAGCTAATGTAATACTGATTTTTAAAGAAAGCTCCCAAGGTGACCCTGGCAATTATCAAGCATTAAGCCTAACTTCAGTACTGGGCAAATTGGTTGAAACTATAGTAAGGAACAGAATGATCAGACACGCAGATGAACATGATATGTTGGGGAAGAGTCAACACAGCTTTTGTAAAGGAAAATCATGCTTCACCAATCTATTAGAATTTTTGAGAGGGTCAACGAGCATGTGGACAAGGGTGATCCAGTGGATGTGGTGTACTTGAACGTTCAGAAAGCCTGTGACAAGGTCCTTCACCAAAGGCTCTTAAGCAAAGTAGGCAGAGGGAAGGTCCTGTCACGGATCAGTAACTGGTTAAAAGATGGAAAACAAAGGTTAGGAAAATAAGCTGTCTGTTTTCACAATGGAGAAAGATAAATAGCAGAGTCCTCCAGGGATCTGTACTGGGACCAGTGCTGTTCATCATATTCATAAATGATCTGGAAAAAGGGGTAAACTGTGAGGTGGCAAAATTTGCAGTTGATACAAAATTACTCAAGATAGTTAAGTCCAAAGCTGACTGAAGAGTTACAAAGGGATCTCACAAAACTTGGTGACTGGGCAACAAAATTGCAGATGAAATTCAATATTAATAAATGCAAAGTAATGTGCATTGGACAACATAATCCCAACTATACATTCCAAACGATGGGGTCTAAATTAGCTGTTACTAAAGAAAGAGATCTTTGAGTCATCAGAGATAGTTCTCTGAAAACATCTGTTCAATGTGCAGTGGCAGTCAAAAAAGCGAACAATGTTAGGCACTATTAGCAAAGGGATAGATAAGAAGACAGAAAATATCATCATGCCACTCTATAAATCCATGGTGCGCCCACACCTTGACTACTGTATGCAGTTCTGGTTGCCCCATCTCAAAAAAGATACTAAAATTGGAAAAAGTACAGAGAAGGGCATATGAGGAGAAATTAAAAAGTGGGGGGCTGTTCAGCTTAGAAAAGAGATGACTAAGGGGGGGGATATGATAGAGGTCTATAAAATCGTGAATGATGTGGAGAAAGTGAATAAGGAAGTTTTATTTAACCCTTCATGTAGCAGACAAACTGGCATCACACAAACAAATTAACAGGCAGCAGGCTTAAAACAAACATAGGACAGTACTTCTTCACACAGTGCACAGTGAGCCTGTGGAACTTGTTGCCAGGGGATGTTGTGGAGGTCAAAACTATAACGGTTCAAAAAAGAATTAGATAAGTTCGTGGAGGATAGATCCATCAATGGTTATTAGTCAAGATAGTCAGGGATGCAACCCCATGCTCTGGGTGTCCCTAAACCTCTGACTGTCAGAAGCTGGCACTGGACAATGGGATGGACCACTTGATAAAATGCCCAGTTCTGTTCGTTCCCTCTGAAGCATCTGGCGCCTGCCACTGTTGGAAGACAGGGTACTGCGCTAGTTGCACCATTGGTCTGACCTAGTATGGCCATTCTTGTGCTCTTAACATCAAAGCAGTATCTGGGCAGCTACTTTGAGCAGCTAGCACAAGCCCCACCGACACAAGTTTGTGGACCCAGGATGGGCGGCGTATGTGACAACTTTAACTCTCTCTGAGCGTAGATCAAGGATATGACTATGAAAAGTGAACTACCCTTTCCCCTGAGATTAATTTCCCTAAAAAGGGCTAAACCAGTGCATGGGGCTTTCCCCCTAGTGTGCCAGCTGTACATGAGGAACCCTTCAGTTCCTAGTACAGAAAATCTAAAAAATCCCCCATTCACGCACCCAGTGCCAACTTCCATTTGCTGGCTAAGGAAAGGTGCAAAATAAACCCCACAAGGCTGCTTTTTGCCCTGAGATTAGGGCGATCAGACAGCAAGTGTGAAAAATCGGGACAGGGGGTGGGGAGTAATAGGAGTCTACAAAAAAGGACCCCAAAATCGGGACTGTCCCTATAAAATCTGGACATCTGGTCACCCTACCTGAGATCAAAAAGGAGTGATTTACTCTGCCAGGTAAAGGGATCACTCATCATGACCCCTCAGCCCACAATGTGATATTGTCCCTAGGAAATGAGTCTGTTAAAGTGGACAGATGTGACCTAGGTTTCATGTTCACTATGTTCATAGCAAGCAAAGCCAACTTAATTGTAGACGTACGGCAATTAAAGCTGTGCACTTCACCCTCATTTTTGACACTGTGGTTGTTGAATCGTTGCTAATACAAAATGATTCTCCTGCCAGTCCAGGACTACTTAGGGTTTCCGGAGCTTTTTCTCACCAATTAACTCGAGAACAGCTGCACACCTGGCTTTGTGTCTATCTTTTTCAGACATTTGGTGTAAATTCATCCATGATCAGGTCTGCGGACAACATCAACATTGGGAGTAGTAACCACCATAAAGAAGGATGGAACCGAACTGCAAAGGGAGCTGGAAAGCTTAGAGCTGTGGATGAAAGGAGAGTCGGTCCTAATAAAAGTAGGTCCTACACCAGGGGAAAATGCAGCACAGATACAAAGGGGCGGGGGAGGGTATAATCAAGGCGCTGCATCACTTTCAAATATTACATTAAAATCATGTAACATAAACTGAGCTCTCTTGTAGCTGCAAGAAAGGGGTAAGATCAGGATTGGGAGGATCTCTGTATTAAATGAGAACTGAGAGTCACGATGTTAAATGTTTGGTTAGATATTGTAACGGTGACTGTTCCTAAGGCCTTGTAGAGATACGCTAGGCACAAGCGCCTCAAGATGCTGAAGGAGGAACTAGGGACTAGGAGTCTGGACTAGAGGAGACTCTGCAGGGCAATCCTAGGAAGAATCAGACTCAGGAAGGAAGTTTGGCTTGAGTTTTCTTTTGTTGCTCTTTGGGTGACCAATAAAAAGCCTCTCAAAGGCACAAAGGGCAACTAGTCTCCTAACTCCCATTGACTTTCAGTGGGAGTTTGGCACTCATTTAGATTGTTATTTGTGACCGAACATGGCCCCTGATTTCAGTTGACTCCTCGGTGCTACCATAATACAAATTAATAACAATAAATTGCCTGTGAAATTCTCCCCCAAAGCCAAACCCCAGGAAGGGTGCGTGCTTGGACTTTGCATAGGGTGTGCATAAGAAAAGGCTAACAGGACTTACCTCTTTTGTAAAGCACTTTGAGATCTACCAGTGAAAGTTCTGCATAAAAGCTAGGTGTCATTACACGCTCTTCAAAGCATGTTGAGAACTTCACTTACTTACAGTGTATATATCTTAATAGAAACATTATGAAAATGTAACCATCCACACACAGATGGGAGGAAAATATGATTTACTGCTTGAATTGTCAGTGTGAGAGGCAAGGTGGGTGAGGTAATATATTTTAGTGGACCAACTTCTGTTGGTGGAAGGGACAAGCTTTTGAGCTTCCCAGAGCTCTTCCTCAGATCTGAGGAAGGTAAGAATGTCCAAGCTAAATACAAGGTGGGAGTGGTTTACATATGTTATAGGAGACCAGGTACAATGAAGTGGGCAATTAACACCTTTCTTTGTTAGTCTCTAAGGTGCCACAAGTACTCCTGTTCTTTTTGCGGATACAGACTAACACGGCTGCTACTCTGAAACCTTTCTTTGCCCTAGGACTGCAGAAGTATGAATTGCCCACTTCAATTTAAGCGGTCTCCTACAACATGTGTGAACCCCTTATGCCAACAATCTGTCCCATCTTGTATTTAGCTTGTTCATTCTGGCTACCCTACCTTCCCCAAACCTGAGAAAGAGCTCTGGGAAGCTCTAAAGCTTGTTCCTTCCACCAACAGAAGTGGGCCCAGTAAAAGATACTTCCTCACCCACCTGTCTCTTTCATCCTGGGACCAACACAGCTTCAACACCACTACAAACAAGAATGGGCAGTGAAACATAAGCCAGTAACAGAATTTGGGCCCACACCCTCCTCCCACACTCAGTCACTAGGCTAGACATGTGTCTCCCTGTTAGCATATTGAGAGACTGAATTCTTGAGTCTGAGCATTTTTGTAGTCCATTCCTTTTTGGAAAACAACCTTTTGCACTGGCATGTGTTCTAACTACTAGATGATGCTGCCTTCTTAATTTAAGTATTTAGTGAATCAAGGAAAGTTTGGAAAATGGAAAATAAGGAAGAGTTTCTATATTACATCAGCCAGCAGAAAGAGCCTGTAAACCTCTGTGAATGAACACTGAAAGAATTAGTTTATTATTTTAAAGTCTACAGAAACTGCATTCCTTTTCTTCACATGACGTTCTACATTATTTGTTTTACTAGGGCCCCAACTTGGATTGCTGCCCTGTTGTGATAGGTGCTGTACAAACATAAGGAGACAAATCCCTACCCCCAAGAGTTTACAGTCTCGTCAGAGGAACTGAAGGGGGTTGGGTGCCTGGCTCCAACTGAAATTCAGGCTTCTTTTTCAAAATACCAACATAAATAGGCAAGATGGACAATGAGTGACAGGGGAAGCAGATGCCCAAAGCGGGAAAGTGACTTGTCCAGGATCACACAGTTGGTCAGTAACAGCGAGAAACAGAACCCAAGTCTCCTGACCCCTAGTCCAGTTCCCTGCCTCTAGGACATGCTGCCTCCCTTGTAGCCTAGTGAAATTCAGACTCCCTGAACCAAAGCATTAACTATAGTTAATTAACGAGCACCAATTTCCCCCCTACTTTTTGAGACTCATTTTCTCTCTTAATTAGAGCCCCTGCTAATATATTTGAATGGGTGTTTTTTTAGAATGAGTAGGTCTGCAGAGAAACCCCTTTCTTATGTCTGTGTTGTGAGAAAACTAGCAATTCCCTTGAGGAATTTTCTCCCTCATAAACAGCTGACAAATATTTACCACCATCTGTCCAGTTTAACAAAGTGTATACCCTGGGAAGAGAGACTTTGAGAAAAAGTAAGTGCTGGCTTGGTTTAAGAACTTCTAAACGTGGATTCTGGCTTCATGAACCTGTTGTTGCTGCTGGTGGTTCAATTTCTCGCTTCTCACTGAGCAATCTCCTGCGAAAAGGCCTCAAGCATAAAATGTCCCCACTTAATTTATTTCCAGGAAGGGAATGAATATTCCATATACCTTTGGAATGGGGTGGTGCCACTCTGCACTTGTTGGGAGCTGCATTATCTTTCACTCTCTTCTGCTTATCTGGGTTTTGTTGCTGGGATCATTTAGTGTCTTGAAAAAATACATTTGAGGGTTTAGTGCTCCTGTGTGGTTTTTTACTGTGGAAAGGACCACAAGCAAACAGCCCCCACGCCCTTGGGGAAAATGCAGAAGTCCTTGCCTTTGCTAATCTGAACAGGAGATGCACACCTAGCTGTATCTGTGACTCTTTGCTCCTGCGTGGGCTTTTATAGCACCTGTATAATTCTACCACTTCTCCATTTTGAGCACTTGAAGGCCATCGCTGGTGGAGAGCTGAGCACCCCCAATTAAACTTGCTGGGGACATTGAATTCAAGGAGTTGAGGAGCCCCTAGAAACTTATGGGAGTGAACTCTTAAACAGCTACTTCCCTGCTCTTTCCCATTTTTTCCTGATTTTTTAAATTGATTGCTGTTTAATAAATTGTATTTGCTTTGAACTCTATGGAGAGGTGTCCAGAGCGAAGAGAGCACCCTGGAGTGGGGACACCCTAGCCCCTGTCCTAAGTGACCTAAGTGGTTTAAAACAAACAAAAGGAAGTATTTTTTCACACAACGCAGTCAACCTGTGGAACTCCTTGCCAGAGGATGTTGTGAAGGCCAAGACTATAACAGGGTTCAAAAAAGAATTAGATCCCTGGTCAGTGGTGCTGACGGGAGCCACCAGCGTCCCTTTTGGACCGGGCGTTTCGGTCGAAAACTAGATGCCTGGCAACTCTACTGGGTTCCTTAGTTGCATCCGTTGTAAACTTAGACTGTAAGCTCTTTGGGGCAGGGAGTGTGTCTTACTATGTGTGTGTGTAGGCACTATGTGAAAGATAATAAGAAATACTGTATAATAATAATAATGAATTACACCATATTCATTTGGACTATCTCTTGCGCTACACCAGTGCAAGCTTACCTTCTCCGCTCTCTGTCAGGTTAAATACACTTACAATCAGCGTTATACTGAATATACCTGACATTCTAGGAATAGGTTGAAGCTTGCTTAACAGCTTAAGCATGATAATTGCATTTGGCAACATATGCTACATAGTCCAGATCTTAGTAAGTTATGCCTGTTCCTTACGTCTTGCTTAATGTCTGTAATTAAAGGCAGTACATTAGCCTTAAGCAGTTTCGATATGTAGAGAACAACGACAGGCCTTATTCTCCAGGATGCAGCAAGATACTGAGAACCCTCAACTCTGGCTTCAGTCTTAGTGGAGAGTGCTCAGCGCTTGACAGGATGAGGCCCAGAGTTCCTGAAAACGGGTTAAATTCTGCCCTTGGATACGCATGCACAACTCCCATTTACTTCATCGTGAATTGCTCTTGCGTATCACAGGGTAGAGTTTGGCCCTAACAAACACATCCCCAAGGGCACAATATCAGATTAGAAACCGAGATTATCCAAATTTAATCTGGCATTGGCAGCTGATGTTTTGAATACGGAGTCAATGCTCTTGAGAGCAGGGATCTTGTGTGTAAACTCAGGAGTGGATGTCAATGCATTAGCTAATAATAGAAGTTTAAAGCCTATGGCAAGTTTAGGGTCTGGCCCTCTGTAGACACTCTGCACAGACTTTCATTGAAGCCAGTGAGAGCTTTGTAAGTGGAGTTCTTGAAGAATTGGCCTTTATTTTGTATGTTATGTTTCACACAAGCTCTAGTTCAAAGTGCTTTGCGGCGTTAAATAATGTGGAAGGACATAGATGAGTCATACACGTAAAATGAAAGGGGTTTGTTTTTTTACCTGGCAAGGAAACAATGTGATTCTGTCACTACCCGTGTACCTGTTGCAGAGAAAGAAGAAATGAGTTGAGAGTCAGAGGAGGGCAATAGGAATCAGGAGATCTGGGATCTGTTCCAAAGTCTGCCTCTGATTCACTGTGTGACTTTGAGCAAGGAACGTAGTAATCTCTCCAGGCCTCATTTTCTTCATCTGTAAAATGGGGTTAATATCTAATTCTGTAGGGTGTCATGAAACATAATAATCAATGCTGGTAAAGTACTTTGAGATCCTCAGACGCAAGGAGCTGAACACAGGAAGTGTTAAAACAACGAGGAGTCCTTGTGGCACCTTAGAGACTAACACATTTATTTGGGCATAAGCTTTTGTGGGCTAGAGCCCACTTCATCAGATGCACAAAGTGCAAAATACAGGAGCAAGTATAAATACATAAAAGGATGGGGGTTGCTTTACCAAGTGTGAGGTCAATCTAATGAGATAAATCAATTAACAGCAGGATACCAAGGGAGGAAAAATAACTTTTGAAGTGGTAAGAGATTTTTCCCAATACTAATTTCTCCCGACTGTTACTCACACCTTCTTGTCAACTGTC